AAATTATAAGCAAAAAATATGTGGGTATGGCTGTCCGGTATGCTTAGACGACTTTTAACTTTGTAGTAAAGTTAATGTTTGCAGTACCTAATCATCATGTGTTTATAGCTGTAAAGTTACTTTTTTATAAGCTAACATTAGCCATTAGCCATAATAATAAGCCAAATTTAGTGTTCCCCACGGTTTCTTAGATATTTGCTTTTTCACGCTAACTTAGGCCAAGTGTATAAGCATAAAATGAAAGATAACTTGTTGCTTGCTGAATGATGCTTACTCTCAATAACCAACTAACAGTGTTTTGCAATTTATGAATTTAGCTGTTGTCAGTGTTTTAAATCTGTTTAAATATCCGCTCTGATAGGTTTGCTGTCAATTACTAAATGTGCAATGATGCGTTACAGAACGTTTCTCCTTGTGCTGAAACATCTAGTATATATGTGCACTATGGCATTTCCAATTGAAGACTTAAGGTAACTATTACTTGATTTCTTGCTTTCAATCATTCCACAATATCATTTCCTGCAGCTAACCAAATTATTAATATTTTTCAAGTGTCAAAGAAACGTCGCCAACTCTGTAAGACGAATCATGTATGCTTGGAAACAATAACTCCATGGAAGTAAATATTGTGCAAAAGTTATTTTCTGAATTAACGAACACACGAGTGAAAAACTCGTCAACAAGTTGTTGCCTCAGCGATCAATCTACCACTCGAAAGTTTTTAGTCAATGAACACTGGAATACGTAAGGAAACAGTAACACAGAACTCAGCTTATTACTCACAATAAACCTCCATATTTTTTTATTTTGCTATTTTGTTCGATTTAAAGACGTTAGTTTCTTTGTCTTGCTATTTGCTAATGTTTCTTCATTTCTGAAACATGGGCGACATAGTGGACTTTTTAGAGTGGGATAACGTATTACGATTTGAATGTCACTTCTCAGCTAATTGTAAATGGTTAGCATATCATAAAATCGCCAAGAATGAACCGATCCTTTGCATCCTCACTTATAGTGTGCTATTTATCAGGACATCTGTTACTTAATGTCAAATAAGTCTGTAACGTAAATATCTCACTGCATGCACACCATGCTAAAAGTGTTACTTACGTTACTGCATACCTATACTTCCTATTCTTATATTATGAGAAGTTTTGTGCACCTCTAAATTTAAATTATATTCGAGCACGCTATCATTGATCTCTTTTTCATTAAAGCCGGCAAAGTGCCGTAGATTTTAATAATACATCGCAGAGTCAGTTTAACTGCGTAATATGCAATAGGGATTTTAACTGTAAGATTAATAATTGTTGATTATGTCCAAAAACATCATGATGCACACTATGTCGTTCAAAAGCAAAAGTATATTTTATGGGAAACGCAGATTGTTAGTTGGTATTCGATTGCACGGATTACAGTGTAAATGGCAATTACTACGAGTTGGTACATTTAAAAAATTGCTTATTTAATTGTCACGGGCCATTAGGCCATGCTAAGGCTGCAGCGTCCATTACAAATTACGTACGCACAAATGTGACAATTGAGCGGCTTGCAAGTGACTGCGCTACGCAATAAAATAAACTCAAATTTCGGAAAACACAGAAAATGCAGCATCGTTTAAGTTTTGTCAATCAGAATGCATTTTTAAATTGAATAACTTAGTTGTAAAAATACCGCATGTAAATCACTACGCTTTGTCAAAGCATTTGAAGATGGCAGATATCTCTTTCAGATTTTTATTGTAAGGTCATGTCTTTGGTAAGATGGTCAAAAATACACGTTTAACTAAACCTAACATAATGAGTTTTATGTAATAGACCAAGGTGCAGATGTCAGTATTGACTACCAGAAATAGGAGAGCCAAATTCACAGCAGAAAATCACGTTAACTTCTGACTGGCATATAAAGCATATGGCATTAATGGCAGATGAGTGCGTTTCTGAAAAAGCTAATTGTAAACTACCTTGTGTTCTTCGGCCTAGATTGGAATGGACAGCAAAAGACGATCATTACAGGTCAACGCATTTATTTCGGCAAAGCTTTAAATACTCTAATTTTGCACAATATCTTAGCTACACCTATACACCTTCCTCTACTTTTGATTATTTACACGGAAGATGGGACAAAAATGCCTGTGCAAATATTGCTAACCTCTGCATTTTCGTTTTACTTTCACTTTCGTTTGGCTCACACACTGTAAAATAGTGACAAGTTTAATCATATAAATCGGTGCGATCTGGAAAATCCCGGCCTTTCTTTTCACATCGCTGCTTCGACTAGTTGCCTCACCCTATGCTGATCAAAAGCGCTGATCTATCACAAGTGTGAATGTACATGAATGGATTTATTCACAACTCTCACAAAAAGTCGTCTTCACAGTACCATTCCGTCACGTTTCACGAGTTAAGCACCCGCACAGCATAAAGACGCATTGAACGTAGAAATGCCATTGGGAACCACGGAATGAGCTCCACTACACCTAGGACCTTTACCTAGCGATACAAGGTGGTTATTGCTAATTTTAGGCAATGAAAACATTCTGCAAACATTCGCAAATTTAGGAGAGGGTGATAGTTAATACCGTAAACATGGCAGGATCTATGTGGAAAACCATAAACGAAATTATGTCACTAAATTGACTTCTTTTTTCTCTCTTAAATTCACCTCCAGTTGCAAGGCTTCCCATTCCATAAAAACCTCCTTAATTATGTAAGTAATGTAATGAATCAATGGAGTTTGATGTAGTGATATATTGTTCAATACCATTTCCTCATGATCCAAAAAATGCACCAGGAGCTTCAAATCAGTAGCGTTTTACCTTGGAGGAATATCATCGCAAAATTGCAACATCGGCCTTGCAAGTAATCACAAACAATAGGATCAACTTCAGGTGAGTTATTCAAAGATAAATAGTCATAAGAGGAAGGCGAAGGGAGGTTAGCATAAATATGCACGTTTTCTGTTCAACATAATAATAACGGAGCAACTTTCTTGTCTTTTAATCACGTTACATCCTAAAAATGAATACAAATGAGAATTCATTCACCCAAGTCAGAGGTATTTCTCTAGGATGCCTTACAGTCTTAGAAGCAGAGTTAGGAGCGCTAAGCAAATGAATCAAATTGCAAATTTCAAACATTATAATTTAGGGATCCTTGCTCCATAAAGAATATTGGTCGGTGGCAATTAATTCCTTTGATGTGATTATCGTACAATAAATAATTTTGGACATTTTTTGGTCCTGCGTAAACCAATGCCTCCTAAGTTAAGTTTGAAGGAGGTAATAATAGGTACTTCAACATAACAGTCACCCGGAATCTGTCCAACAAAGATTTCATAAAATTCGCAAAGGCGCTTTCTAAAAACACAACACTATAAATGCAACTTGACAGAAATCAGTTAAGAAATTGCGCCTACGAGGGTTTCAACTCATTGTCTGTTGAGTAACACCCATGCTTCTCTTACTGTCACGTCAAATTTTAATTTAAAGAGCATAAAATTTGAACACATTTTGGGCTTTGCGATACAATGACAAAAAGTCTCACCGTCTTCGGTGCTTTCTAAATCCAAAATATTCCTTACTCCTATTTACCAAAGTATTTATTGAGTCCCTGTATCCTGCCAGCTACCTTTCTGATAATAGCCATAACAATCACATGTGCTGATACAGCTCATTCTCCCCCACGACCCACACAGGCTTCTTCACTTTGGCATGTCCTCCATTGTTTGAAGTGTGTCAGATGCCTGTACAAATGTCTACTTGTCTGCCTACTTAATTTCAAAATATCAGTCAAATTTAACAGCGGACTAAATGTGGTGTCATATACTTTCCCTAACTAAAGTAATTCGCATCGGGTTTATGCATTTCCACTCAGTACCCAAAATTTATAACTGATGCAAAGCTTATATTTTGTGGATTACTCCTTAGCCAAAGTGGAACTAGGATAATGTGCATATGTCAAAAGGAAAGTTTATGCTAATTCACTTTGTAGGAAGTTGACGTAAATTTGTCGCGCGTTCCCTAAAAGTGTGTTCAGGTGGACAGGCTTGACACCACTATCAAAGCGTTGGCCCTCATTCGTGTTTACTTTGTATAATTTAATCATCAGATGTAAGAGACACGCATTTGATTTTACTTGCATCATGTTTTATATTTATTGCTCTAATTTTTCTCTGATCATTGCGTCATCTCTTCACTTCGGCAATCTTGAAGTGAGAGTTGATGATTTTTGGGGTATTGCATCTTTTCTCATATCATGATGATCTAAAGTTGTGCAAAAGGACGAATTTTAGTATGGAGCACAAGGGCTGATGAGCGGCAAGCGTTTCCCAAAGGCCACAGCGCGGAGCAGAAGTGTAGTATTTGGGGCCTCAGGCCTGCATGTCATTCAACACATGGCTAGACTACACATCAAGTCACCACAGTATCGTACCAACGTTGAGTGATTTTGGTGTCAGTTTGTCTAAACTAAGGAAACCATGACAATAAGTTCAAAAAATTTACATTGTATAAATTCATATACCAAAACTTAAAAACAATTGGCATTATGTAGTTTACTAGGGTATGTATGCTTTACTAACTTACCTTAAGCTAATTAAGACTGTATTTTAAGGATTTGGCTGCAATGAACGGATTTCATACTTGCAGTGCTTAAGGATGTCACACTACTAATTAACCTAGCCATTACCTCTCCCATTTCCAACAATTTGCTTTCAGTAGTCGGCATCAAGTATGGTCAAGAGGAGTGATGTATGTGTATATGAAGCGGTTTTGGTTCTGCTCATCTGTGTGTATCAAGATTTAACAATGTGCTCATCTTGTTGATTCAGGTAAAGGTCACTTTTACTTGATTTGTGCAGTTACACTCTCAACTTATCCAAAATGCCGGATGATGCCCGTAATTCACCGAACAATCCACTGCGCTGCCATAAAGCAAAAATCTCAGAGAAGTGCAATTTATGCACTATATAAATATATTTTTTCCCAAAAATTTGATAGGTCACCTAAGAGATGCAGTGCCGTAGAATCGGTAGGTGCAACTCCATACATCAGCGAGACAGACAGTGGAATGAAAATGGAAGAAGACAATAAGTGGAAGAGCGACATTTATGATGAACTTCCAGAGGAGTTCATTGTAGTGCGTCATGTAGAGAGGATGGGTGGCGGCATGTTTAAACTCGAAAGTCTTCAATATCCACATGGCCAGGTTGAGAATGAGGAGAAAAGTGATCATGGTACGACCCGGTTTCTCAGCCAGCTAGTCCGAGGTAGCACCTTGTCGCCGCAAGGCTTCCACAATAAGCAGCACCTTCATATGTGGTGATAGTGGATTATTTACAAGTAAGAAAATACGTTAATTCGGGTTTGACAGCATATGAAAAAATTTGAACTTCAACTTACTCGATGGGTTTTGATTGTGAAGCTGTCTTAAGGAATACCTGACAATGAGATGTTTGTCCTGCTTTCATTTGATTTATGATGAACACAAATGCGATTGGTAAAAATGCATTTGTTTGCAGTAAACAATTTCTACTTCAAAACGACCATCTGTTACATGCAATATCCTTTTTCAAATTTTTAGGGTGGTTCACTTTTGCAATTTGATTTGCATTCTATGCATTAAAGCTTTGTCTTTGGTGTCTGGTAAAGTCCAAAATTACTCACTTACGAACTTAGGTGCATTAAAGCAAACCCGGCACGTGTCGACATCCAAGTATTTAACTGATGAGGTGAAGTCTCAATTTTCCTTTTACAATGCCCTGATGGAATCGGTAGAAGTGACTCTTAAATCCAATTTACTGACATGTGGTGGATAGTAGGTGTTTTTGCAGGTTCTCTAACGTGAATGTCATCATTGGACTACAATGATGTGAATGTGGTACATTAATGGCAGTTTCCGTGCTTTTGACCCAAGACAATGCACAAAGTGAACTTTGCTTACGTTTTTAAAGGGGAGGTCACTCAGAGCATGACGTGGAAGGCAAGGGTTATTCAGGGATGAAAAACTTGTGACTTATTTCGAAAAAATTTTTTTGGCATAGCATTTGACCTCAGAAGTGCTTGTCCATGTGGAATCACAGGTTTTTGTTTCAAAGTTACATCTTCCCTTATTTATGTATTTGATTAGTTAATGAGAAGGCCACATTTCCACACCTGCGAATTCAGCTTGGTTAAAGTATTACTATCTAGGATCAAATTTAGTGCACAAGAGATCCAAGTAACACGGTTAGTAATATATGTAAAGATAAATTATTAAGTTAACAACTATAATTTAGGAAAATTTGCTTAGGTGCACCGTTTAAGAACCATTTTCCAAAACGGCTGTTTTGAGCCTTATTTGAAATATTCTTCACTGCTTGCAATGAATATTTTCATTACCCATGCAGATTCCCTTAATTTATTGTAGAAATAACAAGACTTCACATAGCGCCGTCTTTGAGGCCTTAGGGCGCACGGAAATTTATTACTCGACTAACAAATGAGCATCACAAGGCTGGAATGTCGCCTAATTCAGATTGTTAGGCACTTTAATTAATGCTAGCGTCTTGGTGTCATCAGATCCTAAATTTCTTTTGCACACAGTAAAGTGAGCAAAACAATTAATGAAATCCAAAATACGTTATATAACTAAACTTATTTAATGTTTTGGCTGATAGTTCAGCTTTGCATTTATCTACACGGTCAAATAAGATGCTAGAAAGTGGACGAATTCTTGATGGCATCAAGTTCTGGCCAGCCAGCAGTAGGATGTCCCTATCAGTAGTGCAATTTTCTCAAATCTTATGTAAGTAGAGGATGCTAAAGAATGTGGCGAAGGCATACTATAAGCACTTGAGTTTAGCCTTAACGTGTGGAACAAGTTCGGCACATTTCGATTTGGTTTTCCATTGTTAGATTTGCGAAAAGACTCAGGCAGCAAGT